TTGGGATTACGATAAAAATACCCAACTAATGAATCAATACATTCTAATCATTATAACTAAGAATGATATATTAGATTACCTATATTTATTATTGTATTAATTTCTAGTTATGATCTATGTAAGTGTCTTGCTTTGATCAAAAGCTAATGATGACATGTTAAACCTATGAATACAGGAAGGTAATAGTGCATGTCATGACTTTTTTTTACAAAGTTACATTCAAAATTTAATTAATGAACTTTGTCATCAGTGTATATCAAAAAAATTAACACTAAGATGTAGTTAATTCAAATTTTTATATTATCTAAGTTTAATTTCTTAATTTCGAAAAGAAATATATAAATAAATTCTCAATCTTCACCTCTCTGTGTCATGTACTACATCTGCTCTTCAAACTGCTCATTTTAAATTTTCTTTCCACCCTTATATGATTTTCTGAGTGTTCTAACAAACTAGAAACACACACTATAGCTACTGACAAGCCAGAATACAGTTAGAACTTTCAGTCGTCTTGCTTTATTGAGATACAAAACAATTTGTCACTCATCCAATATAATTCTGTCTTAAAAAAATGTCAATAACTCTCTCTGACACTTTACAACACTCTTTATACATTTATACCGTTTTTCTGCCCATTAGTAGTTATTTAACCTCAATTTCTTTGTTTGCAATCATGTTTTTCTGCTCCGAGAAGCAATCAGAATTTTTTAACCTATGTACAGCTTAGTTAGATAGCCAGTTAAAGTAGTTTTGAGACATTCTGTTCTACTGCCCGATATATTTTTGTGATGTAATATGCATATTTGAAAGTACATTAATAATTTTGTGAAAAATCAACACTATATGAAAAAACAGTACTAAAGAAGTACACTCTTGAGCACAAGTTATTTAAATAGGCTCCAACTCTAGTGCAAGTCCAACTTTTCTTGTTTTTTATGTATATTTTGTATTTATTATTATATTCATTTTCATAAAATTAACCACAATTTGAAACATATTAGTTTATATGCCAAAAAGTAAATGAAAAAACAATTTTTTTTATTTCATGAGACTAGCCTGAGTTAACAGCATCATGTCATTGTAACTTTATCAGTTATTTACACCAAGTTCTCCCACCATGGTTAATTGCCTGTCACGTACTTAGAAAAGATCTAAAGGGCATTGTAAAGAAATAAAATTAAAAGCAAACACTTGTGAAGAGGTTAGGAAGAAGACACCATTTGGATAAATAATTTGGTTCAGTTAGTGTTAGGATACAGAAAATAATGGATAAAAGTAAAAGATTTGAGCAAAAAAAAGTTTATAATATTCATTTAGGAGGTTCTAGCAGTTATGCAAATGAAATATGAAAGATGAAAAGAAGTATTTTCATTTTCTGTGTGCAAATCACCTTTCACTTAAACTGACTCACTATAAGGCTTCATAAATTTATAGACAAATTTTTACGAAAAATAATTTATTAGCCACATCACTACAGGTAGATCAAAATACACATCATGACCTGTTACAGAGTTACATTCAAATTTTAATTAAGTTAACTTATTATCAACGTATCCATAAACTTGTCATTCAAATATTAATATAAGTTCTAATTTCTTAATTTTAAAAAGATTATAAGTTATCGAGCTTCACTTTCTGTATTGCATGACATTTCTTCAATCCAAGCTGCCTATTTCTACATTTTCCAATATCCCTATATGGTCTTGTAACTTTCTGTGGAATTTCTCATTTATACTGTACATATCCCCAAGCTAAACTGTCAGCTTGTTGTGAGAAAGCTTTTTGCTTTATAAAGATATAAGTAATAAAATAAATGCCACATGCAATATATCACATCAAGCATCCTGCTTTCAAAAATTGTCATAAATTCTTTCTGACCAAAATAAGGATTTCACTTAATTGACAGCTACAGGGTTTAAAGGCCTTTGTTTGAGCAGATTTGAACATGTTGGTATCATTTTCTTTGTATGCTGGTGTTGGAGCTCTGCTTGACCATGTATGAAAATTATTTTAAGCTATCTATTATGTTAGTTAAAAAGCCAAAAAATTATATACGTTTTAGGAAATTTTATGTTATATGCATGGAATTATTTTTTGCTCTAAGTTAAATAACTGAAGTTTAAAAATATAATTTCTGAGACCACATTATCATTACATTGAATTAGGGTTAAATTGTGATGTCAGCATCGATTGGTCAAGTGCAAAATCCTAAAAACCAGATTTTAGAAGTACTAAATTTGTTATTCATTATCTGTATTTTGTTATTGTTATATAATTAACTAAAATGTAGAAATTAGAAACTCAATCCACAGTGCACACAAAGCTGTGTGTGACATAATAAATATCTATTACCTTAGTCTGAGAGGATCAAAGTTCAACTGCATGCATGTACACAGGAGGGGGGGGGGTATGTGAACAGCCATGCAGTGGTTTAAGCTATATTTCATGCAAAATTGCTTTTAGATTTAATCTCATCACACCTATTTTTTTCAAATATTCTTGGGGGGGCATGCCCCCAGACACCTGTAACATTAGAATACTTTGCATTCTGATTGTGCTTCACACAATACGTGTTGACTTTTGATATCACCAATTAAAACCATTTCCAAAATTTTGCATATAGGCCTGAACAGTATATATATAAAAAATAACTAAATGATAAATATCTATTAGCTTAGGTTGTAAAATTAAATATTGTGTAATTATCTGTTACAATACGCACACATTTTAGAATAAAAAAATAAGAGTAATATATATTTATTTTGTAGTTTTTTGGTTATAAGGTCAGTTAAATTGGCCGAGTCCCTAAACAGTTAAATTAGAGAAAATAACAGATAAAATAAAAAATTTCACTGAAAAAAAAAAGTTTATTTAGTTAAGAGATTTTAGAGGTTACATTAATGAAATGTGAAACTGAAAAATGAAAAAAAAAGTATTCTTAATCTTAACAAGAAAACCACCTTGCACTCAGACAAGTCGACACTCTGACTCCATATATTCACAAACAAATCTACAGTAGAAGTTATTTTTTGAAAAATCAAATTTTTGTGTACAAAAGACTTGTAATCTTTACTGACAGTTTGCTAAGTTTCATGAAGATACATTACATACTTTCAGAGTTATAGTATGTATAGCTTCATGGTTACAAGGTTGGTCAAAATTACTGAACTCGTATACAGAGTTAAGTCCTCATACAAGAAAAAATTATACTGATATTCAAATGGGTAGTAGAAGCTTTGTATAAAAAGGAAATAACAGAATACAAGGAGTGAACTAATAGAACTAGTTAAGTTACCTTCTCTATTTGTATCTATATTAAAGCAATGAAAGCTGTCTTCCTCCCTGCCTAATTTTGAACTACTGACCCAGGAAAAGCTTCCAGGTAGCAGACCCTATCATCCACCATCTATGCTAAAGGACTGACTGTCACTTGTAATGCACTCACAGCTTAAAGTAATGGGAAATATTTTGCCAGCTCTCAAATCTAGAGCTCTATCACAGAGTCAACATGCACCCCACTACTTTCTGTATAAGAACCATGAATAGTTATTAACAAGCAGAAAGAAACTAAGAGTAAAGATATGACAAATACTGTCTCAAGCCATTTAAACCTGCAAAAAATTACAAAAAGAGAACAAGAGACAGATTTAATGGGGGATCTCACAAAGGACAAGAAATCTTTAAGAAATCAAACTGTATGTTTGACAAATAAGTTAAAATATGCCTACAACATAGAAATTTTGTGATTGATTTCTTATTAAGTATATTCTAGAAAGAAAACAGTTGACATATTTATACATGTTACAACTATGGGGATTTTTTGGAAGGGAACACTCAAAAATGTTAAAGTGAAGACAGAAAAGCCTGACACACGAAAAAACTTCTTCCAGTTCTAGGTAGTTAATAAATATGGTGACATGTATGTTACACCTCTGGAGTTTTTATTGCAATGGAACAATAAAAAATTTTGAGGTGGAGTTAGAAAAGCCTGACACACATAACACTTCCTCCAACTCTAGGAGCTGACAAGAGTTTTGAAATTTACATTCAAATAAAGTAACGAGTTTCACCCTCCACTTAAACAGCATCAAATCTTCGTATAATTACACCTATAATATGTAAATTTTCAGAAACTAAGATGAAAAAAAAAGGCCTTGGAATGGTATTACCTCCGATCATTAACTACTAACTTATCAAATATCATCCATTTTTCATCAACAAAGTGACAAAGCAATTTCCTCAAAAAAAAAAAAAAAGACATTTTCATAAAATGTTCACAGAGTGACAGAACATGCTAAAGGTTTATAGTACCAGTGTCTTTCACACCTTTTTGATTAAAACTTTTCTCTTACAACTACTACGGCAATGACAGTAATTAAACTTCAGGGAACCAAAGTTAATTGATTTAATCTATGCTTTTTAATTTTTGCAAAAGCTGCAAGCAATGCCAAAATAAGTATTAGATAAAATTCACAGATATTTCTTATTAACAAATATACTTTGTACTCCATTGTAATACTGCCATATATCAATAATGCTGCTTTATGTAGTATATTACTGTATTAGAAAGATATTTCTGTAGTACCTTTACATCAAAATAATTTATCTTGTATTTTTTAAAAAAAGTTGCAACCATATTTTTACCCAAAATTCATGTTACCCAACCACTTTGGATTAGTGATAAACTGCACACATTTATAAGCATTTACTTACTGTTTTTCATTTTAAATTCTCTTCCTTTGATACAAAATTTTAGAATACTCAAATGATGTAATTGTTGTACTTCTATGAGTTATTGACATGGTCTTTACTTTGTGAATTTGTGCGCAGACTCCATGTATTTTCTTATTTATAGAAAATTGTTAGCTGTTGTCACAGGAGTGAAAAATCAATATGAGGGACACATTCTCAGAATCATAAATGAACAGTGCATGTATGTATGCTAAAAAATATTCTTCTGCACTAAAATATAAGAAATAAATTGGTCTCACAACTCTTACCTTGTTGATAGTCTTTTAGTGCTTTTTTCCAAGCTGAAAAAAAATGTGCACATAAGTTTGAGCCTTCTGTATGTTTTAATGTAGGATTAAGTTGATCTAATAATACAACTCGTACAAATAACTTACAACTTTGTCAAACAATCATGCTTGATGTTCACAAAATATCTTTGAAAATTAAGCACAACTATATTGAATATTGTCTTTGTTACATTACCCCCCCCCCAAAAAAAAAACTGATATAAGTATGGATTTTTCTTGTTCAATGCATAATCAATACATTATTCTATAATTTCAATTATTATTCTTAAAAATCAAATTGATGAAATTTCTTGTACTTCAAAGATTACAAAAGTCGCAAAGCATCTAATATTCAGCATTTCCAAGCATACCAATTTTTTTATAAAGCAATTAAAAGCATTCATACCAGAAAGTAATAAAAACATTCTTCAATTACAAAGAAGTAAGCAGTAAAAAAATGTAACCTTGAATTTTTGCCATCATTAGTAATACAGTGTCATACAATTGTAGTTTTCAAAACCCTGCTGTTTCAGCTGATTGGCTATAAAAAAATCAATTCATAACACCTTCTCAATTATTATTTGAAATATAAAAAGTTATGTTCCCATTTGCCAGTACAAATCAACATAGTTAGGTTCATAATCAACCAAAATCCAAGTGCCTATATAAATACAGAGCTAAAACCACACTTACCCATTACATATATTGCTTGTTCAGATGTAGTATAAAACTCACAGGAGATATACATTACATGTAATTTTATGGTAGTGAAAAGTGACAAGTTGTATTTATCCTCTCTCTCTCCCTTTATTTTGTTTCACTCATAAAAGTAGCTATTTCAAACAACAGTATATCAAGCATACCTATATAAACAGTATATTTAATTTTTCCTTCATCACAAGCACTCTTTGTAAATAATTTTATCTCAATCAGTTTATGTTGTATTTTTTGTGATATGTCTCTTAGAAGAATCAAGTTTTAAATGAATACTAAATATGTATTGATTTAGAATATGACTATGTTTATAACTTTACCACCTTCTCGCTGAGAAGACTAAAAAAATTATACTGACAGACAAAGAGATCAAGCTGTAAAAACACCTTCAGATCTGGCCAATTAACAAAATTGCATTAAATGCAAATAATGCATTATAGTGAGTTAGAGCTAAACACTTTGAAAATTTTAAAGCATTCACAAACAGCATTTGCCAACAAGCATGCAAATCACTAGTATTAAGCTTACAGAATAAACCACTGCACAGGGGCACAAGTGCATAAAATAAATAATTAGAGTATGAAACAAATGAAAATAATATCACCAAAAAATATCCCAAGTAACTTTTACATACTGGTTTTAGTCTGGATAAAAATGCCAATATGGGACTCTCCCATCTGTACATGATCAATATTAATGGCTCAGGATAACTTAAAAAAATAATTATGTTCAAATGTATTTTCTTAAATGCAATTTTTTTTGTTTTACTTTTAGCCATAATTGACAAACCAAAGGACTACATGTACATGTAATGTAAGGTTTAAATGGAAATATACCTCATGGTGTAAATCTTTCTGTATGTGTAATGACCATCATTATACAGATATAACAAGTATTTTTTGTTATAGAAAAAAAAAGAATCTACTACCTTTAAATATCTTTTTCTGTGAGCATTTATACTTTCACATGGGCTAAACTGAGACATCTTAATGAATCATTTTTGTTTTAAATGGTGACACTTGAACTAAAGAGCTGTAAGTTCAAAAATATTAAAATTTATAAACATTTTGCATAAAACTTAACATATTAAATGTTAAGTTTTGTAGTTAGATTAGAAACATTTCCTGTTAAAAAAGGTGAACTGTGTTTTTATACATACACAGAAAGAAAATGAAGATATGTAATACAAGAAAAAAAAGCAAATATACAAAACTATAACACATATCAATGATAAATTGGTTTTCAATTTTTCAAAACCAGTAATTTACACAATAAACCTACACACTAGAAGAAGAAAAAACACACATTCAGTCAGAATTAGAGACAATAAACTAAGTTTAATTCACCTGTATGTGTACTTACTCAATCCAAAAAAGTTAACGATTTGGTTGTAGTTAAATGTGTCTGTATCCACTGTGGGTTCTTGCCATTTCATGAAATGACCCGAACGAGTAACCACTTTGTTGAAAAGACTATGTTTCAAGTCTTCACATAATTCAGTGTTCACATTAGTGTCCGGAGGTACAACTGGAGAAAAAGATAGGCTGGACACAACATTCCCAGGAATTGCAGTAAACACTGTAGGAGGTATCTGGAGATCAGAGTTTAATCTTTTCATAACTTTACTATAATTATTACCAAGAGTCATACAAAGTAACTGTTCATTTACTTCAAAACCAAATGATATATCACACACAGAATCTTTAGGGATATAGTTGTCCAATATAATCACAGGAGGGCATTCTGACCTATTCTGTGTCTGTTGTCCTAGGTCAATTGCTGCCACCTTTTCTTGTCCACTCTCCAAGGTTTCTGGTTCATTGGATATTACTAATTCATTGGCTCCTGTAGAGATACGTGTTATAGGTTCTTCAGTAGTGATTTGATTGCTTAAGTCAGGGTTACCTTCCAATACATGTGAATTCCCATTATTCATGATTAGATCTGTTTGGCTGATCACAGAATTGTGCAAATTTGAATATTTACTATGCAAATTTCCTTTACTGCATGCAATGCCAGCAACACCAGAAGAGATACAATCTTCCTCTGTAATGGTATGAGGTTGGTTGTTAGAGATTAAACAATGATCATTCTCAAAAAGTGTAGAATCTACACCAAATTCCAAACCAAAATTTTTCTGTAAAGGAGGTAGAGAAATCCCACTTTTCAAATCTCTATCAGTTAGGCTACTGTAAAGCCTTGATTTTGGCTCAGAGGAATTTACTGACATACGTGCAATGTCTGCATAAGAAGCCTGTGGAGTAGAAGAGGAGGAAGAAGGTGTTGTGTGAGGGTAAACATAAGTAGGTAGTGGACCAGAACCACCTACAGGCAGAGAATGTACACTGTCAAGATCAGAGTTTTCTGATGAAGAATGTTCTGAAGGAGGAACACTACTGGATGACTTTTGATGAGAGCCATCTTGTCTTCCTCTGGGTTGAATAGGTAGTTTTAAGACCAATTCATTACAAGAAGCTTGTTCTGTGAGTTTATCAGGATACTGTTTTTTTATTCCACTTGTGTGATTATACTTTCGAGAAATGTCAAAAGATTTTTTAGGTAAATGCTTGTTCTTATGTTTCTTCTTTTTCATAACAACTCTGAACTCTGTCTCTTCCACATAATCATGAGCTACTTCTGTAACTGAATAAAAATCTTTAACAAAACCAGATGGAATATTATTGTGAATAAGCACTGCTTCTGATTCATTACTATTATTGATAATTGTATTAGAATCAGTCACACAAGTCTTTATTCTGTCTTGTTGTTCACACTCAAAACTACTCTCTGCAAAAAATGATGAAGTACTGTCTAAACTTTTAGACTTTGGTATTCTTTCTAAATTAAAGTTACCAAATGAAGTTCCACAAGTTTTAGGTTTTCTTGAGGCTTCATCCTGACTCTTTTGTTCCTGTATTTGATCAATACAATCTGACAAGTTCTCATTAGCTTCATCTCTAGAAGACACAATTCCTGTGATCCTTACTACTCTTTTCATAGTTTGTTTTAGGCTTACAGTTAGGTCCATTTTTACCCTCTTTGGATGACACTTTGTACTTTTTTCTATCTCGAACTTGATGAACTGAAGATCTTGGTAATGAGTCTACATTTTCTAAGGAGTTGATACTTTCAACTGCTACTCCCTCTAATTTCTGGTCTGAAGAGTTAATAAAAGCTAACAGAGAGTCAATGTCTTCATCCCACCTGTGCCCAGCAATATCCTTAGCAAACAAAATAGTCTGAGTGTCTGTGTTCCCTCGAAGACGTTTACCTTTCCTGTTTGCTCGATCATTTTGTAAGTTGCGTGCTTCAGTAGAAAATATTTCTGTCTTACTACTTCCACTGAGCTCTAAAGGTGAAAAACCCATCTCCTCTGAAATGAAATAAAGTCTCCTTATTTCAACATTTTGAAGAATGATTTTTCATTCTAATATTTAAAAAAAAAAGTTATCTAGTATTTTAACCTTTGTTATATATAAATTAAATAGAAGTTAGTTTCATGTATGCACTCTCTTAACATCTTGGGTATATTGCAATTCATGAACTTTTAATAAATTCATAATAAGAAAAATATATATAATGAGAAAAGATATGTAGAGGAAAAGTAAGAATTTTCAACAAACCCAAATTTTTTCTGTAAGGTATACACAAGGGCATAATAAAGATTACAGTCCTAGTTTTTTTAGCACTTTAAATTAGGATCAGCTTTGTTACTTGATACTGACAATTTTTGTTCTGTCTGTTACATAAAGTCATATCTGCTATCTAAGATTTTCATACTTTACTGTGATTTATTTATTTTTTTTATTGACACACTGTGTTAGCATTTGGAAAATGGAATCGAATAACTAGTTATATTTACACCTGTCAAGTGTCAAGTCAGTTCTTTCTTTTTATGAATGACAATTCATCAGAATCATATCGAAACTGGAGAGGGTTAAACTTTTATCTAATAAGTAACATGGATAAAATTCCAAAGAATAGCCCTACACTAATTTCAATAGTTGTGATAGTACACTCAAAGTTGATGTAGAGGCTTAACAAGATATAATGTGGACACTTTCACTGGGTACACTGTTACCTGGAATCTGAATCTATGGAAGTGAAATGTCCATGTAAGACCAACTTCAAAAACTTAGTTTTCTTCTCAGTTAATTACTAAACCTGCAGTGACTTTTGATGAACACACTTGAGGAACGGACCAAACATATAAGAAAGATATCCAGATGGTTGTCACCATAATAAATTATCTTTCAAGTTTGAGTAGGATACTGAAATTTTCAGCAGTTCAACCATTATTTCTATTTTGTTTTTTCATATCCTTCTTGTTCTGTAGTGGGTATTTCAACAACATCTGGCACATTAAAATACTGGAAAACTTAAGGTTTTATTGCATTTAGCTACATTGTTAGATGTGAATTACTGCAACTACATACCTCCTTATACATGTACAAGACATAAACAGGGAGGGTACCAATCTATTCTCTCATCTATTACTATTACAAGTATTACTGACTGTTTATAGAATAGACGCAAATTAATGTAAGTAATGTTGAATACAAAACAGTGTTAGTTCTCTACACTGTTTTATAAACTTAAACACAGTTAAACTCTCGGAAAACTCATTTGTCATTAAATAAGAGTGATACTCTATTACTTACACACACTCATATACATAAAGTAGTGTTCCATGGTTTAAGTAATAATATTGTTAAAGAATGCAACAAACTAGCTTGGTAACATTTTTAAAAAGAAATGCAATATAAATGAAGTATTTCTAGATTATAAGAAAGCCATGGATTTACAAACCAAATGCATTTTGGACAATTGTCTAAGAATATTGTAATACATTTCCTTTCGTCTACATGCATCAGAAGGCATCAATAATTGTACACTTCAACAAAAGGGTATATAAGTGCCAATCCTTAACCCCCTTAAGTGTCTAGCCAATTACCATATATATATGACAATGAGAGTTCCAATTTGAAAATTACCAAATTAAATGAAAAGTCCTTTAACACTTTTAAGACACTTTGGTATTTGAGCAAAAAATTTTGTCAAGAAACAAATTTCTAAGCTATGCATAAATATGGATGTTAAGCTGACTAAGTATGTCACTCAATATTTTATCTCCAGAATTTTTTTTAAGGTTATTTTATGTTTACTACTGTTCAAATATTTGGAAAGAGATATTTCTGGAGATGACATGAAAATGAAGTTTAATCAACACTGTCATGATATTATTGATTAATTTCTTTTTGAGAGTAAATATTTTATTATTGGTTAGTTTTTGTTATAATAAGAGATAAAAGCAGACGATTGTAGAAAGTTTTGTTAATAATTCATTGACGTTGAGACTAACGAATATCACGTGCAATACATTGACGTTGAAAGTATACAAGGTGAACAGACAATTAAGTGATAAAGATATAAATAGCATGAGATGAGTGGAAACAGCACACAGATAATAGCAGAAGAAAGTAAAGTTACAAAAGGAAAAGTTAACTACTGTAGAAGTGATAGGCCTAACGACTGACATAGGCCTAATGTTTAATATGTTAGAGTTAAGATTAACAGTAGAAAAGAAGATAAGAAACATAAAACCATCAAAGTGTGGTTCTAAAGTAATTGAATTAGACAAAATGAACAGAGGATTTTCAGAAGAAAGAAGACCAAACGATTCCGGTAACTCGAACCACAATTGTAAGTGAATCATACACAGAATACTAGTGCAATAGTAATAGAGAAGATAGTTCAGCTTGTCAACTGAAGTTCTAAGATAATTGAATAGGCCTAAGTGGACTTTTGACAAGAAGAAGAGAACTCTTTATATATATATGATGTCTATGATATGGCTATAATCTCTATAGTGTGAAGAATTTGTTCCAAATATATTTATTATTTTTAAAACAAGTTAAGTGCGTGCTGTTTATTCATTGTTGAATTTATCACTAACAAGTCACAGACACCTACTGTAGAAGAATCCTAAGCCCAAAAACAACACAGTATATACTATTAAGAAGTAAAAGCCTTTTTATTTTAAAACTTGGCAAAGAGGAAGGAATTTACAAACAATTAAGACAGTGAGAATGTGAAATGTCTCTAAAAAAAAGGTGTGTGTGTGTGTGTGTAGGGGGGGGGGAATAGCAGTCACAGCATGTTCAGATGTGGGAAGTAAAATCCAACAGCAAAGAAGTGATGAAAAACTTGAGAATAATAAGTAAATGTGGTAAGAATGTAACAAAAGGGGATAATAACAGCCACAGTATGCTCAGTGTCAGAAGAAGAAATCTAGCAAAAATATTGGGTATTAATTGTTCTACTCCAGCACCCAAAGATTCTGGACTTTGGCAGATTCTGGACATCTGCCAAAGATTCTGACTGGACAACTTCAAGCTAAGAAGTAGGAAAGAAAACATGAATATCAGGTGAGGTTAATACACAAACACTGTGAACAGGATGATAACATGTAATTTTAGATTAGACGCAGGCAGGGTTTTAGCTATGGTGGGTTGCAGTGGGCGGTGCCGCCCAGGACTCATTTTTGCCTGTCCACTTTTTTGATGTCACAGTACAGTTTACTTCACAATTAGCTTGTTAGAAACAAACATTTTTCCTGAAAAATCACAAAGCAAATAACCTTTGTGCTAAAATACTTTTCAAGACCAGAGGAAAAACCTGCATGTGAAACTCAGCAAACGGCCCATGCCACACTAATTCACTTGTAGTTAGAGTGGCATATCATACAATATTATCCACAGTGCATACCATATGAAGCCTATTTTCTTTCCAGTAAAAGTTTATGTGGTGTGTAAAAATATTTTCAAAATTTTATGGATATCTAAAATACAAAAGTATATCAATGTGTTTTTTGGTATAAAAACTTTTTTAACCTCATTGTGACTAAATTGTTTCAATTACCAGCTGTTAAAGACAGATCAATCAGAAAAATAAAACTCAGCCTAGAGTAAAATTTGTCTCTGCCTATATTTTTTAGACTCATCGTTCACCTTATAACATATTGTTACGTCTCCGTTCGTTAGTTAATTTTCCGTAACTTTGTTCCGACGAAACTTTAACGACACAAGTTCTTTCTTAAATAAAACTGGTTTATTCTTTCTGAATATAACTTTGCAATACACTTAATTTCCACAGTCACGCTATAACAAATGTTATAATTCGCAATGAACGACTCACGTGCTCGACTAACCAGCACGTCTCTATCTGTCTGCAGTTCAATTACCTTCTTACCAGTCTTATATATACAAGAATACCGCATATCTGGTAACCTCTCGAGACTTCAGGAAGGGACGTGAACGTTCGAGAATATGACGTGTTACTAGCGTCAAGTGACCCCCACTGTCGTAACACTGCCCCTTCCTTAGTATTGTTTGGGACGAACAATAACCAGTTACATTAAAACAATTAACAATAACTTAATTAAATGTACAGAATTTACAAACACAAAATTAAAATTCAACAAAGTCTCTTAATTTTACGGGATGTATCTTCTTCTCTCCGTCTCATTGGCTTCTGCTTCAAGAGGGGTTCATTTGCTTCATCAGGAAATGTCCTATCGTCGGTAACAGTCACATCAGTGGTAGTTTCACCGTTTCCCTTCTCAAAGCTGAGTAGAGTTTCTTCTTCGAAAGTGGCTTTTTCAGGTGACACGTCTTCAGCAGCGTCATTTGTTCTGTTGTTCACTTCATCCCAACTGAAATGTCATGGACCATGATAATGCCAAAGGCTGTTGCATGCACCACTTTTGGCTTACCTCGCCGACCACATTTTACCCAGAAAGTCACGTCTGAGAGACAATCCACTATGTCATATGGGCTTTCCCATGGAGAAGACAACTTAGGAGACTTCACTTCGGTCTTCCTG